CTGCTCGCTGAAGCATCGCTTCCTCCTCAAACAAAACTGCTCTAAGTGGGCTTCTACTTTTAGACCACAATTGTATTTTTGCCTGTAGAAAGTTCAGCTTAAGCTCATCTCAGATTTGCAGTGCTGTGGCTTGAAGTGATCTCTGCAGCTTTGCTAGGCTGAAGGCAGCAGTGCTTTTGTTGAGCTGACAGTGTTTGGTGAGCTCTCAAGGTGTGATACTAAAACCACTCAGTGGGTGTTCTACAAGGAGGAGCTGTGCAGGGCCTTGCTGTAGTGCCTGTCCCTCTGAGAGTGGCCTGAAATAGGATTTGGCTTGAGCTGTGCTTGTTCCCCAGGGCTAAATTTGCTGCCTGGCTCCAGAGCCCAGCCTTGGATCCATTGCACTGGGCAGGAATTTCAGTCCCCTCCTGGGGTTTCTGCATCACTGAAGCATCTGTGATCACCAGATTTACAATTAAATCCATTATGTACAGAAACATACATTTTTAATTTGGGTGAAAAATATGAATAGGAGGCAAACTAAAAGCCATGTTGATGGCTGGTTGTGGTGTTCCCTAAATACTAATACTGAAAGTGAGTGGTGACTAGCACCTGACAGCATTCTCTGAGTTATTTTTGAACATTTGAAACCCACATCAGAATACTGATGTTTACCTTTGGTCATGCTGGTTTCCATTCAAAAATGAGCCTAAGGTCAAACGGGCAGGAGTGACTTGGTGGTCCTGAAACACCTTAGAGTTGTATTTTCTGTGGAGTTTCTCTTGGTGAGTGTTAGAAAAGCAAACCTTTCTGAAGGAAAATTGTCATCTAATTCTGGATTCCTTGTTTTGGAGCAGAGCTGCTGATTCTTTGGTTTTTCCTGGCAGCAAGTGCTGCCTATTGTATGTGGAAAGCAGGCAGGATGTGCTGCCAGCCTGCCAAGGTGCTCGGTGTTACCTCACCAGCAGGCTGAGCTGGTTACTCCTGGTAACAAACACAGCCTTTGTTTGAGGAAAAACCACCCAGCAGGGAAGGAATTCCGTCTCCAGTTTGGGGTGGATGTCTCCTTGCTTCCACTGAAACCTCTCCAGGGTTGTGGGCTTGTCCCTGCCCTCCCTTGGCATCAGCTCTGCCAGGGCCCCCGCCCAGCTCTGGGTGAGTCAGGGTTTGGTTCCAGGGTGACATTTCAACTGAGTCACTCCTGCTGCTGGCCCTGGCCAGGTTTTTATGGCTCATGTGTCAGGTTTGCTCTCCTTCCTTCCTGGTCAGCCTTTCAGGAGTGTGGATTTCAGAGAATCCTGCAATGGTTCGGTTGGAAGGGACCTTAAAGCCCGTCCAGTGCCATGGCAGGGACACCTCCCACTGTCCCAGGCTGTCCCAGCCCTGTCCAGCCTGGCCTGGGACATTTCCAGGGATCCAGGGGCAGCCCCAGCTGCTCTGGGCACCCTGTGCCAGGGCCTGCCCACCTCCCAGCCAGGAATTCCTTCCTGTATCCCATCCATTCTCTCTGACAGAGGGAAGCCATTCCCCCAGGCCCCTGTGAAGTCTCCTGCAGTGGTTCTGTAGCTTTGTCCTGCCTTGGAGATCAGCCCTGCATCATCAGGGATGCCCCAGTGATGGGCAGGACCAGGGGGCTCTCAGATGCTCTTTACATGAAGCATTATAGATGGAAATGTGAACTCTTTCCTGATGGATGATAAACACTTTTGTCTCAAGAATTCCCATCTGCTCTTTCCAGATGTTCAGAGAAGAGTTCTGGCCTGGAAGCTGCAAAGTGGCCAAGTGAGGGGATCAGTTTTTAACCTGTGGGGTGGGAGCTGTTCTGCCCAGCCAGGCTTTGAGCTGCAGCAGAGCCCAGTGGCTTGGCTGAGCTCCAGGCTAGGTCAGAACGAAGGGAAAAAATAAAGGGGATTAAAAGTAATCATACTATAAAGCACTCTGACAGGAGTTCAATTAGGGGCACGTGGAATGCATTTTTAAAATATCACAGCAAGCTAAAGTATTGTGATTAACATGTCTAGAATAAAAAAAATACAGTCTTTTCCTGTAAAACCAATTGGATTTTTGCTTGGAGTGAAATAAGGCTGTGCCACCTGCAAGTAGGAAATGGCCACCAGCATTTCTGTTCCACATCCTATTTCATGCTAAGTACTGTTTTCAGTGTCTTGAAAAGAAAATTTGCCTGAAGAACCAGCAGCTTTGTTAAAATGGCATTTATCAGTGTCCTGGGATGACTGGGCTGGCTGTGCTCAGGGTTTGGTGAGCCTGGCAGCTGAGCTGTGCTTGGAGCCTGCCCTTCACTGCCTGTCCCAGCCTGGGCTGTGTGTCCCCAGAGTGGGCTGTGTGTCCCCAGGGTGGGCTGTGTGTCCCCAGGGTGGGCTGCCTGTTCCAGCCTGGGCTGGGCTGGGCTCAGGGTGTCCCATGGGGAAGGCAGCTCCAGGCTCTCCTGGCTGGTGGCCACTGACCAGCACTGCTGGGCTTGGGGACGTCCTTGGGAACGCTCTGCAGCTCAGGCTTCCAGTTCTTGCTTCCAGAATATTTCTTCACTGCTTCAATTAGATAAGATGCAAATAAGCCCTAAGAAGGGCTGAGGACAGGAGTTTAGTAGTGAAAAAGAAAAAGTGTTCTTTTTTTAGAAGTTTGCTGCTTCCCTGATTAGCTGGCAGGAGGCATTACCATCCCTCGAAGCTGCAGTGGGATGGAAACTTCAAACTGGTCATACCTGTAATTCCAGGGAGACAGAGGTTAATTCCAAAGGAGACAGAGGTTAATTCCAGGGAGACTGAGGTTAATTCCAGGGAGACAGAGGTTAATTCCGAGGGAGCCAGGTTCCTTTGATGGTTTGCTGCTTTCCCCTGTGCAGAGAGGAGATGGGCTGTGCTGCTATCACAGTTTTCTCTTTCAGGGTTGTGATCACTGAAAAACAACATTATTTAGTGGCTCTTTCTTGGCTTCCTTATTAAAGGTGGAATGTGGGCCTGCAGGAAGGGCGAGGTCTTCCCTCTCTGCACTTCCCACCCTGACATCATCACCAGGGGCTGTTGTGCCTCTGCCTGGCCCCGCTCCTGCTGCCACCCAGGGCTGGGGAGAGCATCCCACACGGGGACAGCTGCACCGTCCCACCGGGCTCCAGCTCCTGCACAAACCAGAGCACTTGGAGGAAAATAAATACAGTCATTTTGCACTTCACAGTATGATCCGTAGGATGAGGGTGACCACACTTTAATTGGGAACAAAATCCTGCTAGCACAGTGCTGAGCCATCAGTGGATAGAGTATCCTAGGAGAAAGGAGGGGAAAGAGAAATAAAACTCTGTATTACTCTAAAATCATATGGAAGCTCTATTCTAATGTTTGAGGGGGTTTGAATTAAAGTTGTGGTTACAGCAGAGTGGGTTATGCAGGAATAAATATATATATATAAGTAATAAGTATAAACAATTGCTCTCTAACAGGATGTAATTTCTGTCAGATGGAATATTTCTGTTTGGGTGGGAGAAAAGTTTATCAATATTGTCTGTGTTTTCCTCAAAAAATAAATATTCCGGTGCTGTCAGAGTATTTGAGCTGCTTTTGCCTGAGTCTGGCTGAGGTTTTGAGCTTTTACTTTATTCTGGCATTTAATTATTAAACACCTTATGGTTCACAATTAGTTGAAGCAGACAGCGTGCTGTAAAATTGAAGTCAAATAACTGCTTTAAAACACCGACCCCAAGCTGGAGGAATGTTGTCCTAGGAGGCTTTTGGCACGTTCAGCTGCTGGGGCTGATCGGGGCGCAGCCTGCCGTGCATGCCCCGGTTGTTTGACAGATTGCAGGGTCTGATAAAGCCTGGAGCAGCTGAGGGACTCTGGCAGCAGCAGGGGAAACTCTCAGAACAGGAAGAGAGCGCCCTGGAGTCCCTCCAAGTGCTCCTGGTGTAGCTGTGTAGTAACGGGTGAGCAGCACAGAGGGAGAGATCAGCGTGCACTGAATTGATCTTTATTTTATAGGCCTGGCAAAGGGAGACTCAATCACTGTTAGAGCCAAAGAGCCAATAACAAATAAACCTGTGTCAACACAAACCAATTTCAAGTTTGTGTAAACTGGGCTGACAAAAGGCGTGGAGGTGTGTGAGTAGAGACAGGAGCGTGTGTGCAGCCTTTGGCTGCAAGTGTGTGCAAGCCACCAGGGGTTTTCTGTGGAAGGCAAACCTTCCTGGGAATACCCCTGACTTCTGCTGAGTTTGTCAAGTACCAAAGCCTCTGCTTTAGTGTTGGGAGCTCAGGGTGAGGGGATGGGTGGGAGGTTTTTGGTGGAGGCTGTGTGCATGTTGCTATTGGACATGGAATGGGTGCACAGGAGCTTGGTAAGTTCAAAGGAGAAAAAGAGAAATTTTATTTGAACATCTGGTATTTATAGAATTCTAAAGGTGACCGTGGATTGGAGGATGGAATCACCACCTCTCCAACCACACTGGTCAAACCAACAGTCTATCAGTTCTGTCTTCTCATAAAGAAGAATATAAAACAATCATTATTTACATGAACAGTGTGTGAGAACTCCAGTAGAAATATGCAAACATTATCAGAATATTATAACTTATTAAAGAAGTTTTATGAGAACTTTAAAACTTTTAAAAGAACTATAAAAGAAAACCTGGCACTTTTGAAAATCAGGGCAGCATGTGTGTGGGGGGCTAAGGGAAGCTTCAGGCTGCCAAGGGACAAAGCTCTGCAGGGCTCCAATGCAGAGAGGATGGTGGCTCGTGCTCTTCCCATGGGTTTCAGTTCCTTTACACCCAGGTTCCCTTTGTTTCAGGTTGCTCCATGTGCAGCTGGGAAACACCATTTGGAGTTTGGTGCAGAGGATTTGTGCTGCAGCCTGGGCATCCCAGGCTGTCAGGACATCCCAAACTCCCAGTGCCACAGTGAACGTGGTGCTGGAACTCAGAGCTGGGCAGGTTTTGTTGGAGTTGTTTGGGCCATCTGTGCCCTTGACTGTGCCAATTGTCTGACAATGGTCTTTTTTCCTCCTCCCTCAGGGCTGAGAGAACAGAGGTACTCAGTGAAGACCTGTTGCAGGTATTGTATCATGCTTCATATGTATTTTTCTCAGTTCTGTGATGTGTGAGCCTCCTGAGGTTTGTAGAGTACCTAACGTGGGGAGAAATACTGCACGTGTCAGGGGTGGAACCCTGAATGTCTTTGACTTTTCAGCACCTGGAAAAACGGGTACATTCTGAGTCAAAAAACTCAGTTACTTCAGTTTCCGAGTCCAATCCCATGGCTTGGTGGAGTGGAGGAGGAACCATCCTGCTTTTAATGAGATGAACAGGCCTGCTGAGCCCAGGGGCCATGGTGCTGGGGATGTGCCAGTGTGTGTGGGGAGGAGGAAACCCTGGCTGGGCACAGCTGGCTTCTGCCCTCACTGCTTTCACCTGAACAGATCAGCTGGGCCTTAACAAAAGTGGCACAAAAGCCATTCCAGCTCTCACTGATAGTCTGTTACTGCTTTAAGTGAGTGTGCAAATGCTTCTTGTTTAGCTGTGATCCTTGTTCTCAGATTTGTCATGCTGACATCGATTTGTTTGCAGACTTGTCATCTTTGTGCAGATTTATCATCTCATCAAACACGACTTTCGTGGTGGAATTTAAACTGCAACTGTCACATTAACAAGGGTGACTGATTCCATGGAGCAAATTTGCCTGCAGACTTGTCCCACTTGTCTTCCTCTGGTTGTGAAGGGTTTATGAAGAGAACACAAACTGGTGAGGGAAGGGAGGCTGGCTGCTCCTGGCACCTGGAGTGTGGAGGTCATTTCTGATTAATTCCAGAGCCCCACAGCCTGCTGGAGCTCAGGGCCTGCAGGTGGAACAGGGAGGATGGCAGATGATGGAAGTGCCTCTGGTTCAGAGCTCTGCAGCTTCAGGAGGCAGCTGAGGGAGTGTGTCAGCCCTCAGACATGAACTCAGCACAAATACACAGAATTACAGAATCCCAGGCTGCTTTGGGGTGAAGAGGACCTCAGAGCCATCCAGTGCCACCCCTGCCAGGACAGGGACACCTTCCCAGGCTGTCCAAGCCCTGCCCAGCCTGGCCTCGGGCACTGCCAGGGATCAGCCACAGCTGCTCTGGGCACCTGTGCCAGTGTAATGGTGACCTGAAACATTTCACCCCATTTTCAGGGAGTTGCTCTATTTAAACTAAAAATGATCTCCCCAGCTTGACAGTTGTGTTGTTAAGCTGTGAGGGGCTGTGCAGCTCCGTGGCACCAAGGATTAAACACCTTGGTAGCCTGCGAGGGCCCAGCTGCTTTCTTGCTTTGCTGCAGAGTAGTAACAAGAAGTGAAAGCCAAAAGCTCTGCCGCTTGTTGCCAAAAAAATTTTGCAAGCAAGGCTTTCCCAGGCCCCGAGCAGCCTGGCTACACCCAAGTGGAAGAATTTACTCACTTGTTTGTTTGCTCTTGGGGGCTTGTGCAGGGGCAGGAGGCTCTTATCTAACCCAAGAGTTTGGAGACGTGGGGCTGCTCACTTCACAAACACGGTTCACAGTTGGGCTTTTTTATATTTAGCCCGAGCTCTGCCACAGGATTGTTACAGCTATTTTTTTGTTCTGTTTCCTGAAGGGTTGTGCTCCATTTCAAGTGTCTGTTCAGTGTGTTTCATCTGGAGACAAGGGCTATAATTCAGTACTCCAAAGGCCTTTACAATAGCTCTGCTTTCTGGCACGGCCCTGTGGCAGATAATAAAGCAATTGTGTGATGTTCTGGGCTCTGGGGATGGCCTGGGGGGACAGACAGCGTGGCCTGTGGGTCACATTGTCAGTTCAGAGGTGGCTTGAAGGAGATCAATGTCCTTTGTGCTCCCCTGACATCTCTGCTCCATAAAGCAGATCAGAGAGCAGATGCAGGCTGTGCAGCTCTGGGCTGGTTCCTCCTGTCGCTCCTCTGCCCCTCTGCAGTTCAGGAAAGAGCTGTTGGGGATGTGTGTGCTCCAGAGCCTTGCCAGGGCAGCCCTGGCACCACCCTGGGCTCTGCCAGGGTCCCGGGGGTGCCTCAGCTCTGGGATGTCACCGTGCCCAGCTTGGGGACCCCTCAGCCCGGGGGTACAGTTTGAACTGCCTGACCTTGCAAATTGGATTCTTCTGTAACGAGAGGCTGGCTTACAATGTGCTGGTGGTGTTTGCTCCTGGCAGGGTGTGGGGCCCTGGCACAGGTGGCCAGAGCAGCTGGGGCTGCCCTGGATCCCTGGCAGTGCCCAGGGCCAGGCTGGACAGGGCTTGGAGCAGCCTGGGACGGTGGAAGGTGTCCCTGCCATGGCAGGGGTGGCACTGGGTGGGATTTAGGGTCCCTTCCAACCCAGACTATTCCAGGATTTCATTTTAAAGATAGCACAAGAGAAATGAACAATCTTGGCTGCAACATTAGACCACAAACAATACCTGCTTGTTCATTGATCTCCTTACAGACTTTTTCCACCTGGACTTCATTTTGAATTTTTGCTCCATGCTTTGTAAATAGAGGCAGAGTCTCATGCTCTCAGAGCAATCTCTGGGCACTTTCTCTGCAGCTTTTTCTACCCTAACAGGTTTTCACTTATCTTTTTGAGAACTTCAACTTGGGTTCATTTTACCCTCCTGAAAATATAATAAAAGTGATTTTAGAGCTGTATCAAAAACTGGAATCTGTTCAGATTGTTTCTACAGATGAAATCTAGTCTTTTTCCCCCTTGCTTTTTAAATAGAATCCATTCCAAAGGGCCTCCTGTTATTCTTGGTGAGTCATCAAAATGCAGATAAACAGCATTCTTTGGGTGCTGTGCACAGAGAGCTCAGTGCCATGAGCAGTTCTGTCCCACTGCTCATCACTTTGTTTGTGTTTGGTGTTCTTTGAAATAAAATAGTCCAAATTCCTTACTTAAATTCCCTTAAAAGAACAGTTTATCATGTATATATTTGTCCTGTTCACAGGCTGTGTATTAAGCCATGTTTGAATTAGATGCTGATAAACAGAGCTCTTGTTTGGGCTTTGACTCCTATTTTATAATTCCATATCCCATTTGAATCTCAGTAGTCTCTCCCTGGAAATACTGTTTTGCTCAGCATGTGGGGGCTTTGTCCTTGTGTTTAACAGCCAGGGAAGGACATGCAGGAGGAGCTGGAGCGCAGGTTTGTACAGGGGGAGGGAGCTGTCAGATGTGTCTTCAGCACCTGCTTCACAGGGTCATGGTGAAAATTATGAGTTTTCTCTCTAAATCAGTGTCTTAGATACCTGCAGTGCCATTCATCTAGATGCCAAGTGTCACACTGACTCCCTTTTGCTGAGATGCAAGGAGGGCAGTGTTTTTTGCCTTTCCCACTTTCCAGTGCCATGAGCTCTGGCTGAATTTCCGTGCCACTGAAGGAAAAACCAATTTCAGTCTCCCTGCAGGCTTTTTTGCTGTCAGGCATTTCTGCCAAGCAGCTGCACTTCTTGTAAGCTGGAGAATTTGAGAAATCTGCAGCCCAGAGCGGCGTGTGTACAGGGGGAAGGTTTTCTGCTGAGGCCAGGGAAATAACTTCTGGTTTTTGTTGTTTTCCCTGCCTCCCCTCGGCCGGGCCATCAGATCGAGAGGCGCCTGGACGCCGTGAGGTCCGTGTGCCACCTGGCCCAGAAGAGGCTGATTGCCTGTCTGCAGGGCCAGCATGGCACAGAGCCTGACAAGAGACACGTGAGTACAGCTCTGGGTGCCACCCTGCTCCTGCCAGGGCAGCCCGGGGCAGCAGAGCTCTGCCAGAGCAGCTCGCTGCTGGCAGCAGTGACAGCTCGGTGACAC